TCTTATGCGTCAAGAAATGGATGAAGAGTTAGAAGAAATTATGTCAAAATGTAATAGTATGAATGACATAAGAAAAGTAGCAGAAAAAACTCCTATATTAAAAAAAGAACTCAAAGAAAGCTTAAATCCTACAATTGATTTATTGAATGATTTGTTTAAACGATTACAATTAAAAGATAAAAATTTCCAAACTTTTGAAGCTGCATCAGAATTAGATATGGATGCATTATAGGATTCAATTCTTTTAATTGATTCTACTTTAACGAAAGAAGATAGAAATTGGGCAAATATAAAAAATAAGGTAATTCTTTATTAATAATATTAATAAATTCAGTTTATTGATATTTTGACATTAAAAATCTAACAGCTAATATATTTATTTTTAATAGCCAATAAGTGAATTTTTTAATCATTATTGCCAATCTCGTTCATATTTTTTTCAATAAAGAAGTGTGGTGAAGATCATTGTAGTATATGTTCACTAATCTGAAGTCCTCAACATATATTCAATACATTATATCACTTACCCGATCCAATACCAGCAAATAATGAACATTATAAAAATTTTGAGGATGTTTATGGTACAGATACTCATGAATCATATTGTCCATCTATACAGGCTCGTAAAGCAAAATCGGACAAAAATAAGAAAGTAAAAGCTCAAAAAAGGCAAGATAAGCAAATGCCATGGATAGGAAATGTACAGAGAAAAAATGTGGGTATGACTATAAAATGCATGGATTGTAATAAGCCAAGGTGTTTATACGCTCTTAAAAAAATCACAGATGATGAAAAGAAAATTTTAATGTCATACTTTGATACAATAAATTATACTTGTGGTACTACATTTGCTTTTCATAATAAAATAGAATCTGAAGATAATCCTATGGAAGAATCATCCTGAAAATGAAATATGGAAACATTAGAGGATGATAATATTTTATTAGATATGGAATCAGAGGAAGGAGAAGTCTCAGATGAAGAGTTTATTTTAGTAGATAATATAAATACCTGTACCAAGAGGGATGATATGGATCAAAAATTAAGGAATGTCTTATCTAAAGTATTTGTAAATGCAGCGTTAGAATGTT